CCTCAAGCTGTCACCCTGGGTAGAGTGTTGTTGCATCACAGCTCACAGCAACCTCCAACTCCTGGGCTCAAGCGAGTCTCCTGCCTCTACCTCCCAAGTAGCTGGGACCTACCACAACATCTGGCTATTTTTTGGCTGCAGCCATCATTGTTGTTTGGCGGGCCTGGGCTGGATTCGAACCCGCCACCTTATGTGTATGTGGCTGGCACCGTAGCCACTTGAGCCACAGGCACTGAGCCTTTTTTTTGAGACAGAGTCTCACTCTGTAGCCCTGAGTAGAGTGCCATGGCATCATACTTACAACATCCTCAAACTTCTGGGCTCAAGCAAGAAAGAATTCCTGAGTAGCTATGAATACAGGCACCTACCACAACACCTGGCTAGTTTTTCTATTTTTAGTAAATACGGGTGATCTCGCTCTTGCTCAGGCTAATCTTGAACTCCTGAACTCAAGCAATCTATCTGCCTCATCCTCCCAGAGTGCTAGGATTTAGGCATCAGCCACTGTGGCTGGCCAGCTGAATTTCCCAATCATTGAGTATCAATCACCAAAAATAAGCATATGGCATCATCTCACTCTGTTTAATCTCAAAATAGGACATACTCAAAGAGGTAAAGCTAAGCAACAGAAATACCTAAGGTCTCCAATTTATAATCTTTTGAGTTTTTCACAAGTAACATGCTTCTTTGCTTATACTTAATTATCAGAAAAAAAGGTTTTAACTTACCTCCTGTCAGACAAATCTCAAAATGTGTGGTGGATTCAACTGTAATATACTAATTGCTCATAAACATTAGTAAAATAAAGACACTACCTCGCTAGAGTTCTTGTTCACTCTGAGAGGAATCCCTGTCTTGCCATGAAGAATCTGAAAACATGCTTGTTTATATACTGGGCTAGCAATCACCATTATTCTGCCTATGGTCCCTGCTCTCACAGAGGGAGAAGACTGGGGGCTCACCACATCCCTTAGAATGCAAACTTCACAATCAAGACTTACTCTGGCCTGAGATTTAATTACCTGAATTCGAAGCCATTGGAACGGAAGGACTCAGGCCGGAATCACTACAACAGAGAAGAAGAACCTAAACTTAGGTCATATCAAAGAAAGCAATTTCCAAAAGCCCCTGTGGGACTGGGTGCCATTCATCAGGTGAGTGACTCTGAAGAGATATAGTGAGAGACTGTTCTATGCTATATAGGATAACTCGCTATACCGACCTATAAAGAAAATCTGTTGAGGAAAAAAAAATCCTCAGATTTGTAAAGATAAGCTTGTAGAACACTACTGACATCATTCATGGGAAACAGATAGGAGTATGATTCTCCACTGAAAATCAAACCAGTAGGCTCGGCGCCTATAGCTCAACCGGCTAAGGCGCCAGCCACGTACACCTAAGATGGCGGGTTCGAATCCCCAGCCCGGACCCGCCAAACAACAATGACGGCTGCAACCAAAAAATAGCCAGGCGTTGTGGCGGG